TGCCATTTCAGTACCCTTATCCTACTGTAATTTTTTGTTTTTCATTGGTCTTATCAACTTCTGAGATACTTAGTTATTATGTTTGGGGTTCATTCCCAATGGGTCTCTTCCCATGGAATATAAGTTCCTTCAGAGCAGGGATCTTTGGTTTGTTTGCTGATGTAACAGAAGCTCCTTGAAGAGTACCTGGCATCTTGTAGGAGAGCACAGTCTATTTGTTGAATAAACAAGTGATTCCCCAAAGCAGAAATAGACTCAAATCCTTTCCAACCAGGCCTCAAATCATTTATACAGGAAAAGTTCCAAAGAAAATAAGTAACTCATACTTAAAAATGAAAAAGCGCACAAGGAAACAAGACACCGAAAAAGGATAAGCATAAAAATATGATCCAGAAAGATTTTTAACAGTCATATTATGCAAAGAGTAAAAAATTATGGTTAAACATGATTTTGTTTTATTTTCAAAATTTTAAATTAATTTATTTTTTAATCTTTGGTTTTTCTGTTCAGCATGTTTTAAAGAAGTGCTTTTAAAACTAGGAGCAGGGTAAAGAAACTAAAAATAATCAAGTAAATTAAAAAGTAATTTCTAGAAATGAAAATATACTAATTAAAATGAAAAACGTCAGCGGGCCGATTTAACAGTATATTAGACACAGCTGAAGACAGCGAATGAACTGCTAGATCTGGAAAAACTGTCTAGCATGCAGTTCTGAAGCAGAGATTGGAAAGTATGTTTTCAGGGGTGGCGGGCAGCTAAGACATGAAAGACAGAGTGATGATGGTATAAAAAAATAATAGCTGATGATTCCCAGCATTGTTGGAAGACACGAGGAAACCTATCAGGTCCAATGCATGGTAAATGGAAAGAAATTCTCACCCAGGCACAGAGAAGCTGCAGTATACCAAAGAAGAGAGATCTCACAAGCAATTATTTTTTTTGAAAACAAAAAAGGCAAATTATCCATACTCTTAAAATTTCAACAATTAAATTTATGAGTGACCCTTGGACAAGAAAAACAGATGCCAGAAGATATCTTTAATGTTCTGAGACAAAGAGGAGCTAAACTGAATTCATTACCTGCTTGAACCATCTTTCTGCCAGACTGACAAAAACAGAGACTTTAGGACCCAGACTGGAGGAAATTATAAAGAAAAATGTACTTCAAGCAGAAGGAAAAAGATTACAAATAAAAGGTCTGAGATTCAAGAGGGGACAGTGAGCAAAGATGTTGGTAAATATTTAAATACAATTCAGCAACATCAAAACAATAAAACAAAGTAATGTCAGATTCGTTTCGAGACAAATCTGAACCAAGTACTTTTATAAATTATAGATTGGAAAAAGGTGATCACAGTTGAAGCATGAAGGTTTTTGTATTTTTCAGTAGGAAGATAATCTACTGATAAACTTTAGACTATATTAAATATGCATGTTAAGATTTTATTTATTTATTTGACAGAGAGAGACACAGCGAGAGAGGAAACACAAGCAGGGGGAGAGGGAGAGGGAGAAGCAGGCTTCCCGCTGAGCAGGGAGCCTGATGCGGGGCTGGATCCCAGGACCCTGGGATCATGACCTGAGCCGAAGGCAGACGCTTAATGACTGAGCCAGCCAGGCGCCCCTAAATATGCCTGTTAATATTGCTAGGAAAACGTCTGAAATAGGCCTGACTGTTTAACTTCCAAACAAGTACAAGAAAGAATTTAAAAAGAAAAAAGAAGAAACCCCTCATTCCAAAAGAAGGAAAGAAATCAGGGGAAAAACTATTTGAAAAGACATAATAAAATAAGAAGTAAAACACTTAAAAGGGAATGATAAATATAAATGCTAAATTTGTCAATTAAAGGAAAACAATTTTCAGACTAACAACTCTAACTGAAAGAAAAAGAGATAGACAAATACTAATCTAAGCTGTTATAACTATATTAATATCAAAGTAAACTTTGAACAAAAAAATGTCATTGAAATGTGTCAGTACATACATTCTGAACTTGTATACAGTGAATAATATAGCCTCAAAATATAAAGCAAAAATTAACAGGAATCAAAGATAAATGCCCAATGGAGTGGGGGATTTTTACATAATTTTCTAAGTTAATAATAGATTAAGCAAACAAAAAAGGCTGAGCACAATTAAGCTCATTCTAATGGACATGTATAAACCATGCATATCATTTTATAGACTACATTTTTTTTCAAGCAAATATGAAAGTCTTTGAAAATTGATCATGTGCTAGGTCATAACATGAGCCTCAAGAATTGTCATAAAAACCACATTCTTTGACCACAATGCAGTTATGACAAAAAGATAACTAAAAAAAAAATCCCAGCTGGAGAAGTTAAAATCCAACAAAGTTTTTAGAAACACGAGTCTAAAGAGAAATTGTAATGGAAACATGAAAATACTTAAAACTGCACAATGGAAATATTAAAATAAAGTTGTGTATGTAGTTAAAGCAATTAACTTAGAGGAAGATTTATAGCCTAAATTCTTCCATTAGGAAAGAAAAAAAGGCTCAGTATGAATGAACTAAGCATGTGAGGAGTTAGAAAATTAAGAATATAATAAATCTAAAAGAGAGGGTGAAAGAGCATATATCCATGATACAGGAAATAAATATTCAATAAAGAGGATCAATGAGATAAACGTTGATTCTTTGAAGAGACTAAAAATAGAGAAGTGTCTGGTCAGGTTTTTCAAGAAAAATAAAAAAGGGATATCTCAAATAAACAATAAAAGGGATGAAAATGTAGATATAACTACTGATTCAGTAAAGACTAAATGAAAAAAGGATGTCATGAACTTTAAACCAGTAGTTTTGAAACATACACGAAATGTATAAGGAAAAATATGTTTATCAAAATTAACACTGATTTAAAGAGAAATAGAAAATATGGGTCGTGTTTTAGCCTCAAAGTAAATCATATCTCATAGTTTAAGATTTTTCCACAATGAAAACAGCAAGCCTAGATGGCTCTGGAGTTATATTCTACCCAGTGTTTAAAGAATAAATCATTCTATTTATATACAAACAGTTCCAAAGAATAGAAGAAAGTATGATCACTGATTTATGAGATTAGCAATACTCTAATGCAAAAGATAGACAAGGGTTGTAGAAGAGAGGAGAATCTCAATTTCACTCATGAACTTGGCTAAAAAATCCTAAGTAAATTGTTAGCAAAGCATATCCTGCAATAGAAAGATAATATCAGGTTGTGTTTTGCCAGGAAGGCAAGTTGAATAATACTAGACAATCAGTTTTCTAGAAATAACACTTTCAGTGAATTGTCCCAACCCTCCTACTAAATGCAGAGAGATTGGACAAATTGCACGTACACACACATACACACAAATCTTCAAAGCATCAGAGAACTAAGAATGTAGTGAAGAATCACTGGGCCATCATCAGGAAAGGATCGACCTACTTTTCCCCTGGAAGTTGGGATGGGGAGGGGGAGTTTACTGACCACCGAAGAAGCAAGTGAGAGGCTGAGTAGGCCTTTCAAAAGTCATCCAGAGCTAGAACAATTGAGGGTCAAGTCCAGAGCCCCCCAAAGTGTGTGCTAATGGAGGGAGGTATTGGTAAAGTCCTCATGTTTTGGGTTGGCCTGTGTCCTTGGACCAAGGGTGAACTGTAAGAAGACCAGAGCACGTGTGCATTTCAGCCCAGCTTCAAATCATCCCAGGCACAGGAAATGCAATAAAGTTATCTGGTATTATAAAAGGGCCCCCAGGTGCTGGCAGAAGCAGACAGAAATCCTCTCTGAGAAAGATATCATCCTCCTAGGATTCAAATTATTTTGTATTTTTTCAAATTCAATGAGTGGTACTCAGTACAGAATAATCAGGCAAACAAGGAGGAAAGGCAACATGGATGAAAATGGGTATAAACAACAAAATAGAAACAGACCCAAAAGAAGTTATTACAAACACATGAAGGAGATGTAAGTCACCAATATTCAATCTGTTGATTAAATTACCAGGAAATGTGTTCATAAAAAAGCTGGAGAAAATGTAGAATTGCACATAAGAGGGGAAAGTAAATTTCAGTTTACGATGGAAGGTTTGTATATTTATAAAATAATTTGTTAGGTATATGAATCTTTTTATAGCTTTGTGTACCTTTTCCTATGATATATTCTTCCCAGCTAGTATTTTATTTTATTTTTTATTTTTTTAAGGATTTTATTTAGTTATTTGACAGAGAGAGAGAGAGCACGAGCAGGGGGTAAGGCAGAGGGTAAGGGAGAGGCAGGCTCCCCACTGAGCAGGAGCCCCAGGATCATGATCTGAGCCCAAGGCAGACGCTTAACTGACTCAGCCACCCAGTGCCCCCCCAGCTACTATTTTAAAATAAGATCAAGAGCAGGGCGCCTGGGTGGCTCAGTCGTTAAGCGTCTGCCTTCGGCTCAGGTCATGGTCTCAGGGTCCTGGGATCGAGCCCCGCATCGCATCTGGCTCCCTGCTCCGCGGGAAGCCTGCTTCTCCCTCTCCCACTCCCCCGGCTTGTGTTCCCTCTCTAGCTGTCTCTCTCTCTCTGTCAAATAAATAAAATCTTAAAAAAAAAAAAAAAAGATCAAGAGCCCATCAGTGTGGGCTGATTTAAAACTTCATCTGTTAGAAATCGGAGAATTAGGCCTACAGCAACAACCCCAAAGAAAAGCATACATAAAAACCTAATTGCTTTGAAAAGGATCTAGATCAGCAGAATGTACTACAGCATTCTTTATTCGTGACACATGTTATTGTCGAATTGGCCTCACCAGTAACTATACAAATGGGATCCCTTTGTGATGAGTGTCATACAGGGTTGTGCCCGGTCCTTGGGTGGAGGAGAAAGTTGCTGTTTCCAGTTGCACTTTATAAAAGAGAAGTAAGGCACATGTAGGTTGTAAAAAATAAATGTTTTTGTCTTTACGTGAGACATAGAAGCTTTTTTTTTTTTTCCCCTGAGTTTTAACTGAAGTCTTCTGGCCACTTTTCCTCTTTCTGCAGAATGAACATGTCGATTACGTAGATGTTGGCGGGGCTTATGTGGGGCCAACCCAGAACAGAATCTTACGGTTATCTAAGGAGCTGGGTCTAGAGACTTACAAAGTGAACGTAAATGAGCGTCTTGTTCAATATGTCAAGGTAAGTCTGACGTTTGACTCAAGTGACCAGTGGGAGAGAGCACTGTATTCGGGAAAACATTTGGTTTTGTTTTTAGTTGTTTTTTTCTCAAAGCAATTGTACCAATAGGCTCTCAGCTTTACAGTAGTATTCCATGTTTTCTTTTTTTTTTTTTCTTTTTCTTTTTAAAACATCCTTGTGGACTCTGGGAATCTCTGCCAGGGGTCAGGCCTCGGCTTGGCCCTCTTCTGCATCACCCACTGTAGCCCTTGAAGGCTGCACCCTCACCCCCAGTCCAACTGGAGTAGGGGTAGGAGGCTCTCAGCATTTTTTTTTTTCCTCTCCACCCTTTATGAAGAGTGCGGTGGGCGGGGGGGGGAGCACGAGTCATACACACACACACACACACACACACAGAGCCCCAGGCAGCCCCCCAAGCGCCTATGAGGCAATTCTAAGGCCCCAAGGAACACGAGTCTGAGGCTACTACTTCTTTTTTTTTTTTTTTTTTAAGATTTTATTTATTTATTTGACAGAGAGAGAGACAGCGAGAGAGGCAACACAAGCAGGGGGAGTGGGAGAGGGAGAAGCAGGCCTCCCGCTGAGCAGGGAGCCCGACATGGGGCTCCATCCCAGGACCCTGGGATCATGACCTGAGCCAAAGGCAGATGCTTAACCGACTGAGCCACCCAGGCGCCCCCTGAGGCTACTTCTTAAGACTGAACAGGTTATTCATTCTCATTCTTACCTGATGCTTCTCTGCACACTTTGAGAATTTCCTCTGTATCGGGCCTTGACTCCTGGGGAGTCTAGCCGGGTTGTGCCATTTCATACTGTTGAAACGAGATTGTTTAAACTCTGCTGATTTCCACGCAAGAAACAGCAGCTGTTGCCAGTGTTATTCTTTCTTACTGAAGCCAAACATGGAGCAGCTGGAGTCTGGAGATGTGCCTTGAGAGGTCAAGTTCTCCGATCTGCCAGTGCAGCCCACTTCCTGGAACTACACGGGCAGGGCTCATTTACTCATTCTTTTATTTAAACATTTATGTATTTATTTGAGAGACCGAGCGCAGGAGGAGAGGGCACAGGGAGAGGGACAGAGAGAGAGTCTTAAGCAGACTCAGCGCTGAGCGGGGAGCCGGATGCGGGGCTCGATCCCACGACCCTGAGATCACCACCTGAGCCAAAACCAAGAGTCAGACACTTAACCAACTGTGCCACCCAGGCGCCCCTCATTTACTCATTCTAATGCCAGGATTCCACACCAGTAGCCACATCACTTCTCACCAGCACTCCCCCAGGCAGTCAGGCTCCAGACCCGCGGGGGACTTCTGGAGTTTTGAGTTGAAGGGACTTGTGAGGGTATGCACACTGATGCACAATCAGGGAAATTTGGGGAATTTCTGATAGCTGGTTTGGGATGGTTTGGGATGCTTGGGGGAAGAGTCTGGCAAAACTAAGTTCAGAAATCCAGGGAGGAATGAAGAAAGTATAAAAGTAAAAAAATTATACGAAGTGTTGATGAACTCTAACTTCCATGGGCTTCATGATCACAAAGGGAAAAACCCCTTTGCTTCCCCACTTTCTCTTTTCTGCACGGCATGGTGTTTCCCTGGACTAGTTAATAATAACACTGAGAATGATAGCAACTAACATTTACTGAGCACTTTTACGTGTATTAGCATATGTAACGTATTCGCACTCAACTACTAATTAAACAAACGGTCATGTAAATTCACTCTCCAGTCCAACTGGGAAGCACATGAGTCTGATGATTGTCCTGGAATCTGAGCAGACTCATGCTTCTAATCTCTTCTTCTCTAACATTCAAGAGCTGAGAGATTTTTATTTTCCCTGGAGGCTCATAGTAAACAACAAAGTCCTTTTTTTATGCACGAACTCATTACATCCACCTTGTTAGGCAGTACGATTGTCCCCATTTTACAGAGGAGAAAGCTGTGGTTCAGAGAAGTAAAGCAAGGCTATGAAACTAGTAATGGTCTGCCTACCCCCTGAGCTCCTACTGTTCATGAATTTTAGGACTGACTTACAAATAAGCACATATTGAAGGGGCTAAACTAAACACCATTCTTTTCATTTAAGACATAATCTCATCTAAAGAAAAGATGGATTCTAGAAATACTATTAAACCATCCTCTCATATACTTTAACCTGCCAAAGAACACATATTCTCCCCCCAAGTTAGACATCAATGTTAAGGTAAAACAGTAGTGGGTCAGTTAGAGGTTAATTTATTTTACCTGAATGAGTGCCTTTCTGCTAGTGTTTCTAATAAATCATATCATTTCTGCAGTGAGAAATACTCGGTGTGGTGGATGTTTTTATAATGACCAGGAAGCTGTAAAATGTGGAGGACAGATTAGGGAAATTTTATTTATTTATCTTTTTTTTTAAGTTTTTTATAACTTTTTTTTATTCTTATGTTAATCCCCATACATTACATCATTAGTTTTAGATGTAGTGTTCCATGATTCATTGTTTGTGCATAACACCCAGTGCTCCATGCAGAAAGTGCCCTCCTCAATACCCACCACCAGGCTAACCCATCCTCCCACCCGCCTCCCCTCCAGAACCCTGTTTGTTTTTCAGAGTCCATCGTCTCTCATGGTTCGTCTACCCCTCCGATTTCCCCCACTTCATTCTTCCCCTCCCGCTACCTTCTTCTTCTTCTTCTTTTTTTTTTTTTCTTAACAGGGAAATTTTATATTCCATGTAAGATTATTAATAAACCATATAGCAAAAAATAACTCCACTTATTTAAAAATATCTCAACCCTCACTGTTCTGTCCACTTCTGGGGGGGTGGGGAATAAAGGGACTTTTTCCCGTCACCATAGTGCATTGGGTTAATAATGCAAATTATCTTTGTGACGCTCTCTGCATCGGCTCTCCTGACAACCCCAGCTTCTGTAATCTCCCACAGTGCATTCTTTTCAGTAAGTAACACCAAAATGGTGGTGGGTGCATCACCAGAAGATTGCCATTGTCTAGTTAAAACCAAGCCATATTCGTGATGGTCCAGGTTGCTTCAGCTTTTAAATGCTCCCAGGGTGCAGCCTTAAAGAATGCCTCAATTATGTCTTCTGACAGCAGACTGTAGTGCATCCAGTTTCAGTGTGTTCCAGGATGATTTTTAGTATTCACCAAAGAATTATTCACGACCTTTGGTTGATCGTGTTGACAGTGCAAATTTTGACACGACAGCATGGAGTTCCAAGCCTGAGCCTCTGAGCTGAGCAATGGGGCTAGACCAGTGGTATTTTGCACCCTCTCCCTTACCAGGGAGACCACGTCCATCTACTTCATTCACAGAAGGTTCACGTCATTATTGCCAAATTCATTCATTAGTTCAATAAGTAGTTACTGTATAGTCTTCTCTGTACAAGATAATTGTTCTAGGCTGGAAACGGTGGACACATGATCGAAGTTTCTGCTTGCGTGGAGCTTACCATTAGCTAACATTTCTGCCTGTATCCTTCATGGATCTTGTGAATAGAATACCTGTTCTAATTCTGGTTTAGTAGATTCTGATTCTTTTTTCTTCAGTTCTTTTTTTTGTTTTGTTTTGTTTTTTTAGTAATCTCTACATCCGATGTGAGGCTCGAACTCACAACCCTGAGATCGAGAATCACATGCTGTATCCACTGAGCTGGCCAGGCGCTATAGAAGATCCTGATTCTTTTTTTTTTTTTTTTTTAATTTTTTTTTTTGAAGATTTTATTTATTTATTTGAGAGCCAGAGACAGAGATAGCAAATGAGAACACTGAGCGGGGAGGAGAGGGAGAAGAAGGCTCCCCACTGAGCAGGGAGCCCGATGCGGGGCTCGATCCCAGGACCCTGGGATCATGACCTGAGCCGAAGGCAGACGCTTAACGACTGAGCCACCCAGGCACCCCGAAGATCCTGATTCTTATAGAATAGGTTTTTGAATGGGTCTTATGAATGTGGTGAATTGGAAACGGGTCTGTTTAGGAGATTATATCTGATTTGTGAAATTAAATTAACCATGTTGTCTTTACCCTAAAAGGTAGATTTGAAGTGGCATCAGCTAGGTGTGTTTGAAACATTCTCTTTATGTCTTCTTTTCCTTTGGATGGTGTAAGGGAAGCAGATGAACTTGAGTGCTTCTTGGGTTGGTTGATCCATTACTTGCATTAGTAAATTAGATGCATCATCATTACAATTATTTTATGAGTACGTTAAATGGAGTTGTGGAGACTTTTTGTTAAATTTTGCAATGCTAAGTCTTGGAGAGGAAGGAAGAAGTGCTTGATTTCCTTTTTCTTTCTTTTTTTTAAGATTTTATTTATTTGAGAGGGAGAAGCAGGCTCCCCACTGAGCAGAGCGACCAATACGGAGCTTGATCCCAGGATCCCCAGGATCCCGAGATCATGACCCAAGCCGAAGGCAGATGCTCAACTGACTGAGCCACCCAGGTGCCCCCCCTTTTTTCTTTTAATGGGTTCTTCCAGATCTTAATAATGAAGAAATGCTGTAGAGAGGGAGAATACTGCCTCCAGAGATGGAGCAAGGCATTTTGCAGGCGCTGCTCTGCGGGAGAAATTGACACATTTATGCATTCCCACTTTCTCCCTGCTTTCACACCCTAAATAAAAAGGGAGACTATAAATACATACCACACATTTCTTTTTAGAGAATGGTGTGATGAAAAATTATTTAAAACAACATAGGCTTTCCTGATAGTAACAGCTCACCAAGCAAGTTTTCCTAGTATGGGTTCTGTTCTTCCCACAGCCGTTTACTTGAGGTTTCTATGCCAACGACTGAAATCAAAAGGCTTTTCAGAATGTGTGTGCTCTGGAATACTAAGTAAAAATTTTTTTGTTGTTGCTAAGAGGTGAACTCTGTTTTAGCCAGCAGGCCGTGTTGAAAGCAGGGGATTTATTTTTTCTTAGTTTGTCTTAATGCTTGCCAGAAATAACTGCGTCTTTGACCCCTTACTTTGTAATAGTGTTTCCTTGGGATTAGGGACATGTATT